CTAGTGAGATCATATGTCTTTTTATAAAGGTAAGATGATAAAAGACCTCTTTAGTTTACTAACTAAAGTTGTTAGTGACTCCTTTTAATAAATTCAGTATTTTTACAACCGCATTTATAAAACTAGTTGTATGTTACTTTAGAAATTCTTTTATCTCCTCGATCAACAACATTAAGAAATGAAATTATTAAATTTTTCTCTCACTATAAATAAATTAAACAAAAAATGATATTTTAAAATAAAAAAAATGATACAAAAAAATTAACTGATAGATTTAAATTATTAGTGTTGTTATTCTATATAAAATAATTGAAAAAATCTTTCAAATCGTGAAATTTAAGACTCTATAAATAAACATGTAACATTCGAATATTTTTGTGTGTTTCTTCATATCAACTGATCTTTTATGTTTTTTAACAAAATATAAGATAATGTCTAAAAGATAATGACAAATCTTTCATATGTTAACAAAGATAGATCTTATAAGTTGCTACAAGCCATAAGCTATATATATACTAGTTATTGTATTATACGTCGGCAAGTCTTCCGTAGTTTTGGGAATTTGCATCTTAGTTGGGGCATTATCATTAGAGATCTTAATAAAATTGTACTTTAATACTACTGACTTATATTGATATTTAAAAATTTAAGTATTTTTAATTTTTTTAATAATGTAAATATTAGAATATATTTATATTAAGACAGTAATGTAGATGATATAACTTAAAATGTTCACATATTTTTTTAATATAGAGATGAATGGTTTATTAATGAGTTCTAATATTATAAATATAATACAAAATAAATTTGTTCATTATTTTAACATAGAGCTTATAACATATTTATACTTCTCAAGATTGATCCAATGAACCAACTCAATAATTCATGTAGTTACAGAGAAACTACTATCTCATATTTCAATCAAACACACAAATCAATATATAATTTATAAAAAATTAAAGATTTAAGAGGAAACATGTAGAACAAAACAATTAAATGAATTATATATATTTACTCTCTCTCTCTCTCTCTATATATGTATATATATATATATATATACTGTGATACGGCACTTGTTGTATCATGTAGATTTACTGTTCTATTCTATCCAAGTGAAGTCAATTAAAAACTTCTCAAACAACCACTTTATAATAGAACATTTAACCATTTTTCCCAAAAAAAAAAATCTTATAATTCTTTTATACCTTATATTAATATTCTAGGTACATGCTAAACTGATATAAGGAGAGTGACTTGTGCATTAAGACAAATACATACACATATATAATTAATATATATAATAGAATAGAATATAATATAATATAATATTTATAAAGAGTTGACCAGTCAAAAGAATATTAAAGGCTTATTTAAAGAGTAGTTTGAATGTTCTTTTCTACATTTAAAAAAAAAAAAATACATAAAGAAAAAGATTAGTTTGAACGCAACGTGTGTTGACTAACTGCTTTATCTTTCTTTGACTGAAAATATCATCTTCCCCTTCCTCTTCCTCTCCATAACCCTGCAGGCCCCAGCTCAGAGAAGGACAAAAAAGAAGGAGATAACCAGTAAAAGTTAACAACGTTAAACGACTCTATGATCTAAACAAAAGAATAATTAGCTAGATCAGGTGAAACCAATTAGAACAAAGTCATATATATATATATATATATATAGTTAAGAAGATCACGAAGAAGAAGAAGAAGAAGACCGTGATGACTCAAACTTATAGTATTTATCAACAGCTATGGAGACATCCCAAGTGCAACTGAGTCCTCTGGGGATGATAACCAGATCTCCTGCACCAAACTCAACATACTCTGATGATCCTTTTTGATACGCCTTTACTTTCCCTTTCACTATATAACATGTCTCTTCTGCATCGAACTTTAGCTGGTACTTTCCTGGACTGCATCCCCATCTAATATATACATATACGACCACTTAACAAACTATATACATATATATATATGTATATACGCACTTAAATCGTTAAATAGATATAATTTTTTGGAAAGAAAGAGAGAGGCTTACTTGGGCCAACACTTGATGTTTAACTCAGAAAGTCGAGATTCTGATGGGTTCCTTTCAACAATGATCCTTAGATCTTCGGCCATTAAAATAATAGAGAACAAAGAAAGAGAGGAAAGAAGAAGAATAAGAAGAAGAAGAAGATAGAAGGGGTGAGTAATGAGGAGTTAAAAGAGGATTAGAGAGACAATAAAAATCCTAATTCTTTATCGTTAGTGGGTTTATATATAAAGCTCGTGATGCCGGGAGAAACAAAGAGAGGATAAGATGGGTTGATGTAAATATTATATTATGTGTATATATATAACTATATAATGTACACACACACACACATATATATATATATATATATATAGAGAGAAAGAGAGAGAGAGGGTCGAGGAGAAATTAAAAGGTTTATGGAGGGGAAAAATAGTATCGAAGTGAGGCTGTGCTCATTATTAAGCATTGACTTATCGTATATCGCCATGTCATACTCATTAAAATTGGTTGAACCGACCATCGAGTCACGTTAACATGTGTCCCACGATATTCTTCCCATCACCCACTATAAATATCTCCTCTTTTTTTTCCAAAGAATAATGATAGTAATAATTGAACTAACCATATTATAATTTTAATGAGCTTAGATGCTAAATTTAATTTGTTATATAAAAACAATATGTTAAGTTTATTATCAATCATTAATAAATTAATAAAGACACATGGAATGGAATAACCATAACTTATCACTACTCTTCAAAATCACATTCTTTGAAAAAATATATATATATATATATATTTAGCAAAAGAACGGTCGGGGATTAGAGTAAAATTTAGTCATGCATTAGGCACCTATATTTTTATAATAATAATTTCCAAAGCTATATATTTTTTTTAATAATCTCATAGGCACAAAATAATGGGAGTTGGATGGGTTAGTTGGGGATGCTGAACTTAACAAAAGTGGTGGAGATCGATTGCAGAGGTTTGGTCAAAAGGGTTGACTGGATCGTCGATTTGACATTTGACACGTGGCGTGTTATTATTGGAAGTCAGGCATCGTTGTTTGACCAGGTAGTCTTTGAAGGAAACTGACAGTGGCAGTGTCAGGCTGTCTCCTCTGTTTGTGTTTCTACGACGATGTATATATCCGTTGAATTTATGTGGGTCTGTTTGTCGTTGGAATTTTTTAAAAAAAGGTTTCCCACGTGCCCCCCTCCACGTGCAAAAGATTGGATCTAATTTCTCTCTCTTCATTTTTTTTTTTTTTTTGCTTTCCCCATCACTTTCCTCCGTGCTAAAATATGTTTTGTTTTATTTAAATTAATTTCTATCTTAAATTTTGATCAAAGTTAGTCAATGTACTTTTAAGAATTTTTAATTCAATCATTCGTTATTACAAAATATTACCATTTTAAAATTAAATATCATGTATTAAATTTGATAACATACCGCATATTTTTATTGATATGTATATAAGTTAAATTTTACATCAAATGTTATATAAAATTTAATATAATATTTTAAAAATAAACATTATTTAATTTAAACTGATCTATAAATTAAAAAAATATAATTAATTAAGTTACAAAAAATACATTATAAACTTGTATAATATTGTCGCTTCAATCATCATAATAAATCGAGTTCTCAAGCTAGCTCCATGCTGGGGCCTTCCTTCTCCATTTTCCTCTTCCCTCTCTTCATCGCTTACCTCTAGCATCATTGTTATGACATATCATGAAAAATAATTTATTCTAGATCGTTAAGATCCGCTCAGGCATCAATAACTTTTATTATAGTCAATGACGTGCCACAATTGTTCATTTCAACTTTTATATTGATATTTACAAATTGGTATTCATGGTACTAATTGTACTTCTATTGACAATGCAAAAGTTCATAACTTATATAGTGAATACATTAATGTTATTGACGATTGAGATGACATGTTCTGTCAATGCACATAAATAGTGATTGACTAATGAAATAGTTTAATAAATAATAATTTTGTTAGTAAAAATATGCTACTTTAACATTAAGAAAATAACGTACTTTAAGGTGGTTTAGAGTCTTTTCATGGTAACCTCCATTTCTTGCTTTTCACGAATAAAATGATTTTAGAGCATGAATTATAATGTATTTTAAATTAATTTAGTTTACGTAAAAATTAAATAAAACGTGTCATACATTATCAATTTGTTACGCGACATCTAAATCAATAATGATAACGATTGATAATACGTAGGAACTAAATTATTATTTTCTTTAAAAAATATATAAAAAATAATTTAAATGAAAGTTAAAGCAATAAATAATTTAAATCATTATTTTAGTAGTTTGTTATTCTTATTTGGTTGTTGCGATTCATTAATACTCCACCCCTTAATTATTATATAAACATTTGAATATGCTTTGAATTATGAAAATTTGAACTTACCTCGGGTGGGATTCATTAATTTCCAATTTATTTAAATAAAACTGAATAAATTAAACGATTTGTTAATTTAAAAATTAATATTTAATTAATACGAAACATCAATTAAATTTATAAAACAGATATTCCTTTGTTTATGTTAGATATTTTTTTTGCATATTTTTTTTATAATTTAATATTTTTATATATTAATTTATGTACGCACATAATATAATTTAATATATATTTTTTTATTTATGTTAAAATAGTTATATTATTATTTTATGTGAACAAAATAATATATAGCTAAAGTTTCTAATGATTTTTATTTTTAAAAACTCATATATTAGTTTTGTTAAAAATATATCAAGAGTGACTAAATTGTTAAAAAAAAAGAAATAATTTATATAATGTGTAATTTCGTAGTTATATTAATCTTAAATTAACTGTAAAATATTTATAATTGATTTATATTTTATATTAAAAAAATTTAAATAAAAAATAAAATAATCGATATAAAGTACATAATGTTAGAGTTTGTATTCAATTAAAATTTAACCAACATAATAATTATAACCAAATCTTATTTTATATTTAAAAGTTTAAATAATAACTACTATATATTTTTTCATATTAAAAAATATAAGTAATTTATATATATATTTTTTACATTAAATTGATAGATAATTATTATTTATATTGTCACATTAATTTTATTTTAATATATTTAAATTATTTTAAACAATAATAATAATTATTTTTTAGTTAAATAAAACTTATTTTAAAAAATAAATAAATTGGCATGCAATAAGTTTATTTTGTACGTGTCATAGAAAATTAGGAAAACAATTTATAAATAATAAAGCTTAAAAATTAAAAGTAAAAGTAACTAAATTATTTATTAATTAACTAAAAAAGAGAAAAAAGAGGAGAAGGAAAATCTTTTCAGTGTGAAGCGGTGCCGTTTAGAGGGACTGTTAGGCGTGCTCCCCTTTCGACAGAGACTTTATTGTTTGAGAGGATTGCTAGGCAGAATTGGTGGGGAAGGGACCCGTTGAAATGAGGACAAGCTTGCCCGCGATGGACTGAGAAAAGGCTTCGAGCAGATGGCGTGAACGCACAAGTCTTGCAGGGCACCGTGAACGAGCCATGACAGTGAGTTGTTTAGCAAGATGACGAACAGAAGCTCTGGTTCTGCATGAACGTGGTTCACCTATTGTTGCAGAGGGTGGAAGATCAGAGGCCTAAGAGGAAAGAGGGAGCTTCAATTTCGGCTCAAGGAGGAGAGAGGCTTTTCTGTAAAAGGGAACTAGTGTTCGATTTGAGAGTTTGAGAGAGGTTTTGGGGGCTTTTTCCAGCGGCTAGGGTTTCTCATAGAGGGGGCTTTTTCTGGACAGAAGAGAAGGAATAAGGGAAGCTCCTGTTTACACTGATCAGAAGTGTCCGGTACTACACATTTTGGTAAATCCTGTACACCCTTAGTATTTAGGCTAGATAGATATAATTGTTTTCTATCTTCGGGAAATGTTTGCAAACAAATATATATATACACGTATATGCGTTTTCCGTTCTTTCTGAACAAATGAATATGTTTAGAATGAATTAAATGCCAATTTTGGATAGATGTGATGATATTATCGATTCTGAGTTGTTGAATCTGTCCATAAATGGATACGGGTTCCTTCTTCTTCTTCTTCTTTCTAATCGATGATTTTTTTTTTTTTTTTTTAATAAAATTAATATATGAATTTTAAAAATACATGTTAAATGCTTAAAAATTGTTCGGGTTCCAAACATATGTTGAATGCGAAAAGATAGATCAGGTATGATGAGAATATTGAATGAAATGGAGTTTTGCTTGCTAAGAGGGAATGTTGAGAAAGGTACGGATTATTTGACAACAGTCAATTTGTACAAAGATTGACCATCGTACAGTGTAACCTTGATATGAGATCAGTTTGTTGCTAGGATAACAGGATGTTGGATAGACTTTTTGTTGTATTTTGCAATTTATGTGTCTGCTTAACATGCAACCTTGCTTTGGTTTGTTTATTTCAATCTCAATGTTCATTTACAAGGTTCAAATGACTCTCTTACTTGTTGAGTTCTGTTTCATGGACAAGAAGGTAGTGGGGAATATAACTCTTTGTTGGTAATTTAGTTCAGGGCCATTCTCCATTAGATGTTAAACAAATGTTCTGAGGATAGCAAATCAACCTTGCTCTCTGCTTTTTTTTTTTTTTTTAAAAAAAATTATTTCAACATTGGATGTCTTGCATTTGCCTCTGGTTTTAATACTAACATCTTTGCATGCTATTTGTCCTTTGTACATATCTTGATAACTCAGTAAGGCATGAACTTGTAACTAATTGTAGTAAGGTAGATGTAACTGAGACTATGTGCCTACTGTCTTCATTTTTTCTGTCATTTTTCTATTCCTTCTGCCTCTATCCTATTTTCTTCATGTTTGCTTGGTCCCTTGGTGTATAAATTTCTATCTTAGCATGCTTCCATGTACTTAACTTCCTAGCTAAATTCAGGGGGATTGCTTAATCTAAGTTCAGGAGCAGGTTTAAATTAGGAAGAAAGTGTTTTTTGAAAATAAAATGTGAAATATATTTAAGAGAACCAAGTGCGTGAGACTTGTATACAAATATTTACAAATTGATGAAAAAATCTACCAGATCCCCAGGATCCTCGCTAGAATAAAGCAGGTGACCCCTGATCAATGAACTTAGGGTTTGGAACCAAGGATCTTTAAATCTATCAGAGTTAGATTCAATGCCTCAAAGGCCTCCTGTTTCTCTTTCCACATGACCCAGAAGGTAGCTAGAGGGATAAGTTCTATTTTCTTATCCCCTTGGATGCCTTTCCAAGCCTAAAGCTCCTCCTTCAATAACCCAACTCACTCCCAATAAACAATAAGCCAAACAGCAAAGCCGACACAAACAGAGACCACCAAAGAGCATGATTGCAAGATTCAGCATCCTGCTTGCATAAATAGCATCCATTTACTAGGATTTTTCCCTTCCTCATCAATTTGTCGAGCATTAGAATGCATTCTCTTGCTGCCTCCGAAATGAGAAGGCAAAACTCGGGGTTGCATGGACTTTCCAGATCAGCATGGCTGGGAAATCAGCCCCATTCCCGTCTGATGCTCAAGTACTCATAATAAGACTTCGCAGAGAAGACTCCAGAAGAATTCAACTTCCAGATTAGTTTGTTTACCGCAGTGTGGTCCAAATTCATCCTTGCGAGAGTCTCCATAAAATTCATATATTCCCTGGTCTCCCGATCATTTAGGTATCTATTCAACTCCACACACCACCCCTTGTTTCTTTGAGTGCCCGCCAAGGACTCTTTTGCAGTGGTGTCCTTATTGCGAGCAACAGCATGGATGTTTGGGAAATGAAGAGAAGAAATCCTCCCTTCCACCTGTTCATCTCTCCAAAACTCACAATTTCCCCAAGCTTGCAGTACATCCAATGCACTTCTTAAGAATCCCTCTCATCATGAAAATTTTCTTCCAGTATCCACCTGTGCGAACCCCTTGGAATTCTAGTGCACCAACCCTACCTTTCCATCCCATGTCTCGCCTCTAAAACCCTCCTCCAAAAAATCCTCTCGTCCCACACAAACCTCCACAACCACCTTCCTTAGAGAGCTGTACAAAGCCCAGCTAGAGATCGCAACCCCAGTCCTTCCCTCTGAATAGGCTGCTTCACCTTGTTCCATGTCACTAGATAATGTCTTCTTTTCTCCGCACCGTCACGTCAACGGAAATGCTGAATTTTTTTTCCAGTCTATTAGCCACACCTCACGGTATAAGGAGAGCATTTAAAGCAAAAATGGATGTTGACCAGCTTTGTTAATTTGTAGTAAGAAATAGTATTTCTGTACCTGAATTAAGTATTGGAATTAGCGTAAATTAGGTTTTTGAATGTTTTTTCCTCTTGATAAACTTGTTTTTGTTAACCTCCTTGGCTTTGATTTTTGCTCCATATTAGTTGTTTAGGGAATAACTATTTTAGATCTGATTACATGTTTGATAAATGTGACTGTCCAACTCTGGTAATGCATTCTTAGTGTATAAGCCCTGATCCTGTGTCAATTTTTTGTTAGTTTGTCTTTTCATATCCTTTCTTTTTCTTTTCTTTTTTTTTTCTTCCGGCCTGTGTTTGAGATATATGCAAGTTTAGAGTTTAAAATGGGTACTTTTTAGCTGTCTTTTAAGTCTATACCAACAAGTTGGTGCCTTATTTCCTCTCATCTGTTTCTATTTTTTCCAACCCGATTTCTCTGAATCTACTAATTAATTTCTGGTGCTTAACCGATCCTAAAAGGATTGGTGGTGACATTTTCTTACAGCATTTGGAATGCCACCCCTTCACTAGTTGTGCTAGATATCTCGAAAATATATTGGTTACTTGATAATTAAAATATACTATTCATTCTTTAAGTGTTTGGCTTCATTTTTTCTTTTTCCCCGTTTATTTAAAAAAAAAATTGTTTCTTTCTTCCCATGTTTAAAGGCTGATTTTTGATTTTTGTCCAATGTTGTTTCTGATATTTATCGGCAGGTGGCTGAAATTCTTGTCACCCTTGTTTTTCAATTTTATTTGTATATTATGAGTTTTACATGGACATTTGATTGTTACCTGAGGTCTTGGTCATGCAAATTTGACTTATTGCAGTCTGCATGGTATTTGTTACCATCTTAGAGTTCATTCAGATGTGGTTTATAGATGTTTGGATATATTTTGAGTCCCTCTATAAGTAGTAAATCTATCAGAAGTTCCTAACTTCGCTCATTTTGGCATTGGCATAATATGTATATTTTCCCTGCCCATAAAATTTCATCCCGCTTTTAGCTTAGTCATCAACTTTTAAACTCTTAAGAATTATAGAGTCAACCATTTAATCCATCTTGATCAAGTCCCGCCATCAATTACATCAATATTCAATAGATAAAAGTCTTATTTGGTGCTATGCAAATGATATGTAAGAATTAAATAGTTTGTATGATCTCAAAAACAGTCAATATTTTTTTCATGTCCTAAGTTTCAACTTGCAAATGTTGGCACCACTGCTACTGGATAAGAGTAAAGAAAAAAGGGCTTTCAGTGTTTGAAATGCTACATAATTTATTTGATACTTATAAATACTTGTCTGCCTCTTAGGTACCCATATTGATTTCTGTAAATTGAGTAATGACTTGGCTCGTAGAAGGATTTGACTGAGAACAATTGAAACATTGGGACGTGGTTTGGATTAAAATGTTGAATTTAACTTAAAGATATCAAAATTTGAGGACTAAGTATGTTTTATGATGCGTAACTGGAGCTCTTGTCCAGCTGAGCACATTGCAGCGCTATGTTCTCCAGCTGACTGTTAACAGATCCAATCCCATTTAACTCTCCTTCCTGGTTAAACTAGACTTGTTATTCCATCAACTGCTTTCACCAGCATGCCTTGCTACTGATTAATGGCAAACTTCTCCTGATATTGGCTGGTTTTAGCTGATTGTTAGCTAGGGATGTAGATGGTTCTTCAATTTCTGTGTTCATGATTGTTTAGGTTACTGAGGGTGCTTTATGACTGGCAGGGGCGATGTATTCCTCAGATAGCTTTTTGCTAATTTGTAGTCATGTCACTCATTAGCATGACCTAACATCTTCTGTGGGCCAGAACATTTACCATTATGATATAATTTTGGCTATATAAACCATACAACACAATCTAATATAAAATAAAGTTTGTTTTTTTTTTTTTGGTTTCATTTAACTGATTATTCTCTCCTTGATTTCTATCTTCACATTTTGGCTCATTGCATAACGTTTACTTTTCCGGTTTTCTGATTGTCAGCAAATTCCATTAATAATTTCATGGAGCGTTTCAGGTTTTTCCATATTGGGTTTGTTCTGAAGTAATCTAGTTCATCCAGCCCTTTGTTGGTAGTAGCTATGCTACCCACTGGGTTGAAAGACACCCAACTCCGTGAGAGCAACAGCCAAAAGGTTCACCCTCAACCCATGGAAGAGGCCATGAATCAGAATCCAGAAGCTATGGAAGCCCTGATATCTAAAATATTTACAAATATTTCCTCATTGAAGTCCGCTTATATTGAACTTCAAGCAGCTCATACACCCTATGACCCAGACAAAATTCAAGCTGCTGATAAACAAGTCATTTCTGAGCTCAAGAATCTTTCTGAGCTGAAGCATTTTTACAGGGAAAACAACCCCAAACCGGCATGTGTTTCTCCTCAGGATTCCCGCTTAGCTGCAGAGATCCAAGAACAGCAGAGCCTACTAAAAACCTATGAGGTTATGGTGAAGAAATTTCAGTCTGAAATCCAGAATAAAGATACTGAGATTATTCAGTTGCAACAACAAATCGAGGAAGCAAATCAGAAGCGAATAAAGCTGGAAAAGAATCTGAAGCTTAGGGGTTTGTCTGCAAAAGAATCAGAAGATTCAGGATTGGAAAATGGATTCTTCTGTGTGGATTTAACCCCTGATCTCTTTACAACAACCGTGGAATATGCTTTCAAAGCTATTCACGATTTTTCGAAGCCATTGATTAACATGATGAAAGCTGCTGGGTGGGACCTCGATGCTGCAGCTAATTCTATTGAACCAAATGTTGTTTATGCCAAAAGAGCCCACAAGAAATATGCATTTGAATCACATATATGTCAGAGAATGTTCGTTGGATTTCAGCAAGAAAGTTTCGGTGCTAAATTGGACAATCTTACAGCGAATAAAGAGAGTTTCTTCCATCAGTTTCTTGCTCTGAAGGAGATGGATCCGTTAGACGTGTTAGGCCAAAGCCCGGATAGCACTTTTGGGAAATTTTGCAGGAACAAGTTCCTACTTGTTGTTCATCAGAAGATGGAAGCTTCATTTTTTGGAAACTTAGACCAGAGAAACTATGTGATGGGGGGTGGACACCCTAGAACACCATTTTATCAGGCATTTCTGAAACTTGCCAAGTCAATCTGGCTGTTGCACCGGCTGGCTTTTTCGTTTGATCCTGCAGTTAAGGTTTTTCAGGTTAAGAGGGGAAGTGAATTCTCAGAGGTTTATATGGAAAGTATGGTGAAGAATCTGGTTATGGATGAAGGTGATCAGAAGCCTAAAGTTGGACTCATGGTTATGCCTGGTTTTTGGATTGGGGGAAGTGTGATTCAAAGCCGAGTTTATCTCACGGGCATGAAGGTTGCCGAGTGAGTAGGAAGTCTATCCGAAGTAAAAACGGTTATATGCAGTTTGTTTAATATGGTGTGTTACTTTTTTCCTTTTAATGTTGCTGTTGTATTTCTGTAATTGTGTTTCTTCTTTTCTTTCAGAGTGAAATGAGTTCGTATCCCTGTAAAACTCTATTTTTGTTTCCACGCCAGGCGTGTTCCCCTGCCCGTGTCTCTCTCTCTCTCTCTCTCTCTCTCTATATATATATATATATATATATCATTGTTGTGTGTGTATGTTATGGCTTGATATATGGTTTAGCTTTTGCAATTGTTATCCGTGGAATGTCTTAACGAATTTCATATTATTTACGTGATAATATTTCTGCATTATTTTAAATGAGTTTCTTAAATTTGTTTTCAACATATATTTAATTGAACGAATAATGATTATGGAAAAAATTGAAAGTTCAAATTAAAAAATTTAGAAATTTAAACTTAAGATTAAAGTTTAAATACTACCACCAAAATGATACCTAACTATGTCCAAGTTTCTCTTAAGAAACATAATTCAGAAATTCTCTTACCTTGTGTGCACTATATTTAACTTTGGAAATAATTTGGGCTTAATGGTCAACCTCTCCCCCCCAATAATGGTGGGTTGGTGGGAGGTCCAAGAATGTCCCGAGGTGGACTGCTAAGAATATCATCTTTTTCCTAATACATTAATACGAAGTTACTACTACTAATCAACAAATTCCATGGGTAATTAATTTTTAAGTTTAAAATGTTCAAAATTCTTATACAAAATTTATTTGTTGGTTTATGTACAAGTTAATTATTTTTAAATTGTTCCCTTATATATATATATATATATATATAACGTAAGCCTCCATCTCTGGCTGTCGGTTCAGAAAAAATGACTCGGCCGCCTCCCTTGATCTTTTAATAATTTATTTTATTTTACAATCTGATTATAATTGAGTAGTTTGGGGTTATTAGTCCGTGTAATCCCACCCCCTTATCTCCACATTTCACTACTCTCTCTCTCTCTCTCTCTCTCCATCTCTCTTCTCTGTCTGTTTGGTTCTGCGTTTCGTGCTTTGGATCTCGTCAATGACTACACGGGGCCAGGTTATCACCTGCAAAGGTACGCTTCTTGTAAAGCACACACATATTAGCTGTACGAAACTAATCATTTGTGTTTCGCTATGTAGATGGTAATTTTGGTTGATTGCTTTCTATGACCCTAATAACAATCTGCTTGTGATCTGTTTGGGGTTACGGGAAATGTGGTGAAGCCGCGGTTGCTTACGAACCAAACAAGCCGTTGGTGATAGAAGATGTGCAGGTGGCTCCTCCTCAGGCCGGAGAGGTCCGGGTCAAGATTCTCTTCACTGCCCTTTGCCACACTGATGCCTACACTTGGAGCGGCAAGGTAAATTAATTCTCTGTAACTTTACAGTTGGATTTTTGTTAGTGCTGAATACTAACAAATCTAACAATCTGAGAGATAGATGGAACATCCGTATTCGATGCCTTTTGAGGATCACCATATGTTGTTTGATTAATCAGAATGTTAACTACCCGATTTGAAGCTTTGATGTGAACATGGTTACTGATGCGAGGTTGGTAAAGGTACTTCAATGGTCTCATGGTGGTTTATGGGGTCAATGGTGGTGTGATCAGATTGTTCTTGATCACCTTGATTGGCAGTGATGTGGTATAGATGTTGAGGCTTGAGGTGATACGATGACGGTGGTGGTTGCAATGTGATGGTGGACGATGAAGATGAGGATAGCGTATTAGAACTATTTTATGTGAAAATTCATTGTTTTCAGTTTTTAGCATGAGCAAGGATTTTTTATTCCTAGACATGCTTTACTCCTGAGTTTTCTGTTTTCTATGCCAGTCCTTTATTCTTCATGCTGATGTTCCTTGCAGGATCCTGAAGGTCTCTTCCCATGTATTCTCGGTCACGAGGCTGCTGGGTATGTTTTCATTATTATGTTATGCCAGATCTTCATTGTTAGCATCTTCATGTACTGAGCAGAAATTTTGGGTCAAATTTTTTTGGCACAGGATTGTTGAAAGTGTTGGCGAAGGAGTAACTGAAGTTCAACCAGGTGATCATGTCATCCCTTGTTATCAGGCAGAATGCCGAGAATGCAAGTTCTGCAAGTCAGGAAAGACAAATCTCTGTGGAAAAGTTAGGACAGCTACTGGTGCTGGGGTCATGATGAATGACCGTAAAAGCCGTTTCTCCATAAATGGAAAGCCACTCTACCACTTCATGGGAACCTCGACATTCAGTCAATATACTGTTGTACATGATGTTAGTGTTGCAAAGATTGATCTTAAGGCTCCCTTGGAGAAAGTTTGCCTTCTTGGATGTGGTGTTCCTACTGGTAAGAATGTTGTCTAATTATATCTTCTTAAAGGATTAAGTTATTTTATGGCATTTATTGCCTATATAGCCCACAGAGCTTATTTGAATTTTATGATTGTTACTTTTAGCACTTCTACCCTGGAATAATGCAGTGTATCATGTGCTGTATGAGATTTCATCTTTGTATTATTTGAAAATTACATGTTATCTTATCTGATATGATTAATTTATACTGTTTAGTGACAGGCATGTTCTTTTCTCTTTCACCCCTTATCATATTGCAAATTCTTTACCTTGAGCATTTCCCGGATACTAATGAGGCTCTGAGTATCTCTTTGAATTAGAAATTTTGATTGCGTACCTCTGGCTGTGGTTTGTGAACTTATTCCTTGCTTTATGCTTTGTCTATTGCTGAAGTTTAACAAGGGTACCATTCCCCTTCTCCTGAACACCTGTGGTACAAGAAATTTTTGGGAGTTGCCTATGGAGATATTTCTGATGTATTCTTCTTTGTACTTTGGCGCGCCTTAGGTCTTGGAGCAGTTTGGAACACGGCAAAAGTGGAAGCAGGGTCTATCGTTGCTGTTTTTGGTCTTGGGACTGTTGGTCTTGCTGTAAGTGTCTGCTGTAATCTCATCTTTCTTCATGTATATTTACTTGATGCAATGACTATTGGTTTGTTAATTTTACTTCCTGATTACATACTTGTTCTAATTACTAACCTGTCTGCATCTGTAATTTATCTTGATAGGTTGCAGAGGGTGCAAAAGCAGCAGGAGCTTCACGGATCATTGGCATAGATATTGATGGCACGAAGTTTGATAGAGGTATATCTTGCTTATGCTCTCCATTATTTTGATAACTGTTTTGTCTAAATACCAGAATTTCTGGATTCAAATTTCCAGCAAAGGATTTTGGGGTCACCGAATTTGTGAATCCAAAAGACCATGAAAAACCAATTCAGCAGGTTCTTGTTGATCTCACCGATGGTGGGGTTGACTACAGCTTTGAGTGTATTGGAAATGTCTCTGTAATGAGAGCTGCTTTAGAGTGCTGTCACAAGGTGAGTAGTGCTCAAGTTTGTAGAAGAAACTATTTGTATCTGGCATATTGGGCTTCTAACATGCCGAAGGAACACTTTTTACAGGGATGGGGAACCTCTGTTATTGTGGGGGTTGCAGCATCTGGTCAGGAGATATCAACTCGTCCTTTCCAGTTGGTCACCGGGCGTGTCTGGAAAGGAACAGCTTTTGGTGGTTTTAAGAGCCGCTCACAAGTGCCTTGGCTTGTAGACAAGTACATGAAGAAGGTATGGTGGTTAGAATGTTTATAAATATCAATGTTGGAAATAGACAATTCATATATGTCTATATGTAAAACTGTATATCATTGTTCAACATGAAAACATGTTCTGTAAGTGATATTGAAAATATGTAATAAAGTGAACTCTGTATAAAAAGGGTTGTTTTCAAACATGTCATGTTTTCAATATAATTCTATTAAATTTCATTTTTATTGTTAATAACTACACATTTTTTTTCTATAATCTTATATGAATTTACAACAACAAAAAAGAAATAGAAAATGTTTCAATGTACTAAACGATGCCTAAGGATAGATAAAAATTCTGCAACTTTATGATTGCTTTCATGATATCTTGTACCATATTGACGATATTGCAGGAAATCAAGGTTGACGAGTACATAACCCACAATTTAACTCTTGGGGAGATCAACAGGGCATTTGATCTAATGCATGAAGGTGGTTGCCTCCGCTGTGTGCTTAACATGTTCGAATGAGGGGTTCTATTGAGGCCTGTCTGTGTGTGTTTCTTGGGGAAAGTTTCTTGTTTTTTCTTTTGCCTTGTTGTAAGCGAATGGAGAGTTGATCCTTCTATCAGAGAAACTAAATTGGGTTTTGAGTCTCTTTACTGTTTGAGATAAGCAAGTGTTGCAGTTATTCTGATATATAAGAATAATGAGTTGGCCCACTTGCAATTTTCCAATGATTTTTGCATTGATGAGAACCAAAAATCCCTAAGCTGGGTCATACATCAGTCACCATTACTTCAAGTTTATCAAACTTTAGCTGTGATTGCCAATATTTGGTGATGGGAAAAATTCAATCACTGGTGTTAGTTTGAACATTACTACTGTTGGGATAGAGTTTTCCGAATTCTACTCTTGGAAAACCTTCTTCTGATAACGTCGATTCTTATTTATTTTTTTTTAAAAAAAGAGAGAGAGAGAGAGAGAGAGAGAGAGAAAAGATACAGTCCCCTGTTAGGATGGTTTCTTGTTTTGAAGATGATGATATAGTGAAGATGATGAAAGGAGTCGCATGATAGAAATCTATTGTCCTTGGATGGCATGGTTTCCAAAGACCAGATAATTTTTTACTTGGCCTTTATTAGTTCAGTTTATTCAGTTTTTACTGAGCTTAGGCTATTTTTTTTACTCTTACTAGTAATCAAATGTAGGCTAGCATTTTGGATATTGCTCGGGGGTTTTGCTTAAGTTCAAAGCAGAATGAGAATTCCATAAATAAAATTCATCTTAGAACAATAAAAAAACACTTGATTTTCGGACGAAAGTACAATTGTAAATCTTTTATTTTCAGTCTAATTCACAGCCCAATCAACAACTGCTTGGGTTATTCACTTATTTCTCCTCGCCAGTCTGCTGCTATATATGAAGATGAAGATGGAGATGATAAATATCACAAGCCCTTTTCCATGGAAACCAACCCAACTATCCACTATATACGTGATCTTTTTTTAAAAAAGAAAAAGCATTAGAAAGTTAACCAAGAAAAGCATTAGAAACAAAAACAGCCCACCTCCTTCAACACCAAATCAAACGGCCGGCGAGTCCATCTTTGTCATTGGAAATTCATTCTTCTTCACTGTATCATCATATTCATCATTGTATGTATACGCCAATCCACCATGGCTTGTCAAATCCATTCCTGCCATCTCTTCCTCCGGCGAAATCCTCAGAAGCCTCAACTTATGCAGCATATAGAACAGACTTCCCATTGTGATACTTACCCATCCTGTAATCGTCAAAATCTGAACAATCTGTGCTCCAAACAACTTTCCTCCACCACCCATGAACAACCCATATGGCCGTCCAGAACCATAGACCTCACCCACTAATTGTTTCGAAGCGAACAACCCTGTAAAGATCAGACCCCACGCACCACACCCAGCATGAAGCTGCGCAGCCTCTAATGGGTCATCGTACTTGAACCACTCGGCTAGCTTGTTGCACCCAATAAGCACCCAAGCGGCAACAAACCCACAAAGAACTGAAGCCCATGGGTCGACCACCGAGCAGCCTGAGGTGATTGCAGCGAACCCACCAAGTAAACCATTGCAGACATCGGTTACATTCCAGTGACCAACAAGCAAGCGCTTCCCAAACAAAGTGGTTAATGCAGCAGCGCTGCCTGCAAGAGTTGTAGTCACGGCAGTTCTCCCGACTGCGCTCCATTGGCCGTAGAATTGTCCACCATTGGGATCGTAAGATTTAAAGATACTGATAAATGAACCTGGGTTAAACCCATACCAGCCAAACCAGAGCAAGAATGAGCCCAAGACGACAAGGGTCGCACTGTGTCCGCGCAGGGTTACTGGTTTGCCAGAATGATCGAATCTACCAATACGAGGACCTTCGATTAGGGCACCCCATAAGCCAGCAATGCCGCCAACCAAGTGGACAACACCGGACCCTGCAAAGTCGATTACTCCAGATCCAAACAAGAGGTTTTCTGTTTTAAACGCACTCCCCCACCCGTCTGTTGCCCAGAACCAGTGAGAGACTATAGGGTAAACTAGACCAGTCAAGAAGGCGGAGTAGATGAGGTAAGAGACGAACTGGGTTCTTTCTGCTATAGAACCACTGGTAATTCCTGCAGCTGCTATGGCAAAAGCCCATTGGTAGAGAAAGTTGCTGTAGTCTGCAGCAGCTGATTCTGAAGGGATTTTGTCAAGAGCAAAGAATTGTTTTCCCACAAAACCATTTGATGGACTGCCGAAAGCAAAAGCGTATCCGAAGAGGTAGTAACAGATGCTGCCGGTTGCGGCGTCGAGAACATTAGTGAGCATGATGTTCATGGTGTTCTTGGCGCGAACGGAGCCGGCACAGAGCATGGCAAAGCCTAGCTGCATGGCGAAGACAAGATACGCAGAGAAGAGGAGGTATGTGTTGTCAATGGCATGGCCGGCATCGGAAAACTTATTTCCGACGACGGAAAACTGGTTGCAGATGTAATCGGCTGCAGCCGCGGCATTGCTGGAGTTACCCAGTAGAGGGAAAAGGTCAGAAGAAACGCAGTTAATGGAAGCCATGGAGAGGGAAGAGAGATGAAGAAAAGGGTGGTTGATGATGGAAATGGAGATATTGGGGAATGTTTTTATAGGCTGACAAATCAGAGATTCAGAGGAAGAAGGAGATTCCGAGGAAGAACGGCGACATAAGAGTCCTAACTGTACAACAGTTATTTACTGTTCTTCCTTGTCAGTCGGAGAATCTTTACGTGATGATCGACAAGCTAGATTTTCGTCATAAGACGTCAATGAATTTAAATATTTCTAAAGATTCTTTTATAACAGGAATATGAACAGAATCATATAGATTCATTATATTGATTGCTTCCAAAATATTAGGCTTCCTTTAATAGCTGAAAATGTTTTTTAAATTTTTATTTCCTTTATAATATATGCATGTATATATATATATATATGTGATAGTTAAAAATAACATTTTTAGTTTATAATGCATATAGTTATGTAACTATATATATATATATATATACAAATACACTAAAAAATCATGTTTTTAGAATCTCAAACATTAAATTCATGTAATAGAATATTGATAAAATAAATAGGAGATAAATTCAAATATAGACAGAAAGCAAATATTCTATGATTACTGTATCTATTAGATTACCATATTAATGTATAGTTCAAATTCTCCTTGTTACGTCTGAGTTTATAATTATTTAAGGGTTATTTGTATTGTATTATAATTGTTATATGTATATATCTCTTAATTGATAAAAATATACATTAATATATTTTAATGATATTTTGTATTAAAAAAATAAAATAGAAAAGACTCTAATATTCAGCACTTTTATATTACTATATCAATATATAACTTGAATTAAATTATATTTTTCATTAAAAAAAATTTATATATATTATAATTAGTACATATATATATATGTTTATAACTTAATTGATAAATGTATAAAAAACACTTTATATTTCCTATAAAAATAATTACTGACTTCATCCGAAGGAAAATGTTGATTCTCTTTCTTGGGGATTATCAATTTGGGCATGATTATATATATATATATATATATATATATATAAAATCAGAATTAGGGCACGCTTAGGCAATGGATAATTTAATAAAAACCACATGACCAACAACATATTTTTTGGGAAAAACAAAAAAACATAAAATTACAACTGAGGCAATAATCAAGATGCAGATTATTTATGCCGATTTGTAGCTTCGATAAATACAGAAGAAAAAACAAGGTGATGATGAATGAACAAGATATACAGCTTTTCTAGTTGTATAAACACTCTCTTGTTTAATCTAAAACTGGAAATATGTGTTTTTTTTTCTTGTAGTCATAGTACACATCAATTGATTCCTCTATGACATTTGTGCCTTGGAATTGTGGGTATTGGAGTTAATAGACAAAAGAATTATTATCATGCTTCCCATGGTTTCTTCTCTTCTCTCTCTCTCTCTCTCTCTCTCTCTCTCTCTCTCTCTCTCTCTGTATGTGTCTTTATGTGTGTATGTATCTATTTGTGTGTGTGTGTGTGTGTGTGTGTGTGTGTATATATATGTATATGATAAATGTACATGACTGCCTTGAAGAAAGTGACTTATTATTACTTCACTTCTTTTTGAAGCTTAAACCAGACCAGTGCTTTTCTGGCTTCGGAATATGGAGAAAAATTTTAGGTTAGTTTGCCACATTATTAAGAACATTCTAATTTTATATTCAACCGTTATCACAACAAAATTTAACCCTTCATTTTTTTGAATTTTAAAATTTAAAATTGTGATGATTAGAGGATTGATTCAAAATCTTATGTTTGAGAGTTTAAATACTTCAATTTTTACCGATAAATATATCATTTTTCACTACAATTGTGATAATTACTGTCACACATTTATCCCCAAATCTTATAATTACTATTAACATTGCTCTCGTCATATTTGATGTCGTTAATATAATTTTCGTAATCATTATTCACGTTATAACTATATATTATTACTATTATTACCGTTGTCACTGACAGTATTGAAGTTATTATTAACACCTCAAAATACTATCACTGACATTAGTACTAGTTTGCTGTTGTCAATATCGTTATTATTATTATTGTCATTACTATCATTGTTAATTTAAATTAAAAAATAAAAATATATATCATCTTAATTATTTCTACCATAATCCCAAAATACATAGCAGGATAAAATTTTTACTGATAAATAGCTTCTCTTCCTCCAAGCAATTATAAGCTCAAAGAGAAATGTTGCAGCCAAAAACTCCAAGTAGGAGATTACAAATAAAAGAGTACAGCACAAAACATTTGGAACAGACTGACTCTTCCTGTGGAATTATGTGTATTCAATTTAATTGTGAAACTTCAAATTAATTTCAATTAAATATCAAATTATATATATCAAATTCTTTGAAAATTTTAGATATTAAAGTTTATAAATTTAAAATGCAATTTGAATTCCCATCTTCCAATTAAGTAGATATTTTCAGAATAAATTCCAAAAAGGGTAAAAATAAGTTGCAGAAGTATGTAACAAAAAAGCAAAATTGTGAAGACAATGAGGGATTTAGAAAACTCCATGCAAAAACTTGGGAGAAGAAACCCTCACTTGGGCCTTTTAAGGCTGACATTAGCATCTTTCTTCCTTCTAATTTATATGGGCCTCTCCATAGGTTTCTTCTATTTCTACATAGCAACTTAATATCAACTTAAATATGTAAGCTTTGAATTGCCTGCTAAATCTGACAACTTTTCGGTCAATCTTTCTTTTCTTGGGAAATTTGATTGCCTATTATATCATCAAGAGCAAATCTCTCACCATAAGTTGTCAAATAAGTAAATATAAACAAACTAAGAGCAAAGGGATAAAGAAAATATAAGCAGACAACAGTTAAATAAATTTTATTTTTTTGAAATAACAGTTAAAAATAAATATAAAATAGTTAGACAGCATATAAAGGAAAACAAACAAATCATTAAAGTTTTCTTACTCAGTTCAGATATGGAGAACTCATGTTGAATCAACATAGAAACCACTCAGGTGAATCAAGTGCACCCGGCTCGAATAATCAAAAAATTCATTTACTAAATTTTGAAACAAATATGAAGAGAGAGACATATATTAATTACTGAAGCAGGAGGCCTACCTCTAAATAACATAAAACCTTGTCTTTGCCGAGCTTTATTGCAATGGCCTTGTAGCTATTGATCGGTCCTGCCCCTTGTTTTCAAAATATTCACAAACACTTCGGGGCAGTGCTAACCCACTCTATCTAGGTCCAAGGAAGCTTTCTTGCTTTTACGTGTTTATAACTTCAGCGATCTCCAAAAGATAACTGGTCATACTTCCTGCTGTGCTGATGACAAAGCTGTTCATGGTGGAGGAGCCCATTTCCCAGCTTTAAACTCTCTATAGAAGCTCGAGGCTCTTGAAACAACATAGAAAACTGCCCAGGTGAACACCAACAAGAAATGAGAAAACAGCAGAAAGGCTTGCATGTTAACATGCTTCAGGCATGCACTTGTTAAAGATCAATCATAGATTTCTTTGATATGAAAATGCAGACACACCTGGAACCTCTGGAATAATAAAATTTGGTTCTTTCAGAACATCATGGAGTGTCCTTTTTTCATTAACTCTAACCAACTTGGAAGACCCTTCTGCTAAAAAACAATGAATTTACCAAAATATCACATGAATAAATTGTGGTATTGCAAAGAATATATTTTTCTGAAAGAATTTGAAAAACTTGATGACGCAAAGCAAATGTTTTGCTCAAACACGGAGAAAAAATATTATCAAGTTTTGCTGTATTCACGTTTATTGTAGCTTTTGAATTAAAATAAAAATTACCAAAGAAGGAAAAAAAAAAAGAACCAACATTAAACCATATCTACATATATCAATATCGATATCTTGATCTCCTTGCCCTATACTACAGTAGTAGAAGCATACAATATATCCAAAAAAATTATGGGACCAACTAATCTTGGTTCTATATGCATGATCTCAACTGATTACAATCCGGTGAGTGGGAAAAAAATGCAACAAAACCAACCAGCAAAACAAATGGGTGATAAGAGGGGAAAGAAGCTATATTACTCATGATGAAAGGATACTGATAGATAACTCTGCAGAACATATAACAGGTACATTTGAGCCTACACTTCTCAGATCAGCCTAGTATGTCAACTTTTTACAAAAAAAAAAAAAGCACAATCAACAAGCAATAGATGATAAGACACTTTCAGGTCCCTGCCCCGAATCATCACAATTGATCAAACAAGTGAAGATTCTTACCAAAAAGTTAAGATATGTAAATAAAGAGAGGACTGGAGACACATACCAGGAGATATACCATAACTAGATTTTTCAGATGCATCCTTATCTTCATCACAAATACTTTCCACATGAGACCCTACAGTCCCCTCTAGGAGATACCGGAGAACTCTGTTCTTTGACAGACAAACTCCAGAAGCAGCCTGACGATTCAGGAAAGAAAACTTTGAAATGAAGAACTGAAGAATTAACTTTGTTATTTGGAGTTATTGATTGCCAATAGATGAAGATATTGATGTCTATTATCATCTGCTCTAATGAAGTCATGACCCACTCGCTCTAGTAAACCATCGCAAATTTGGAAAGACTCTTCAGCTTATGGTCATGAACAACAATGCAGGTAGTCTAAAATCCTAAGAGCTACGTGACATTTCTAACAATAGATCAATAATCCAATGCTTTTGTACAGTTTTCTTTTGTAGATTCCTAGCTGATGGGCCGCCTTGACCATATTTATTTTGATAAACTAATTATGTTTGCATAGTTTCCAATCCAGTGGCTGGACAACATTAGCATACAACCCAGATTGAGCTGTTGCCACTTCGCAGACCAGAATAGAATGGAAATGTGATTTACGAAGTACACCCAAAAGGTTCACTAATCTAGAAAATTAACACAAGAACCATATAGACACATGAGAATAATTACACAATAGAATCCTAACCATATGTAACCGTAGTCAACCAGAAAGCAATCCTACCTCATAGTACAACTCAATGTTTTCACGTGTGTAATTGTTTTCTGTATCCCAAGGCAAGGGTTCTGAAAAGATGTTAGAAAGCTAAGGACATCACTATTTGCAGAATTATAAGGACGTTGCATGTCATAAAAAAACCATGTAAACAAAATGATAGATACGAGCACATAGGTGGAAGTTTGGGGAAAAAAAAAAAAGAGATTTTGAAAAGGATATAATGTCCAGATGGGTTGCAAACATGTCAGTCTCACAGAAGCCCTCAATAAAGTCACTGGACATAACCTCCGGATACACAAGAACAACTGGCCAGTGAAGAATATTATTCTTATCTAATACTGGCTTTCTTAATCCAGTAAGTTCCCGAAACATTGCCTTTCCGATTTTCAGGCCTCTATCTTCAATTGCAGAAAGAATGCGCTGCACAGTTTATTTAAAAGGAACAGAGATTGAGAACACAAAACTAAGCAGTCGTTCAATAGAAGAAGGTTTTACTTGTTCAATTTTTGAACCTTAGCATTTGCCACAGCCTTGGAAACTTCAGCCTCATGGCGCTCTTCCTCTTGCTTCCTTGAATCAACTTGCCGTGCAATCTTCTTTAGATCCTGGTTACTCGGGTCACGCTCAAGTCCAGCTTGACAATATGATTTTGCTTCATTCAACAAATTCAATGACAAAGATGCTTTGGCAGCTCGATAGAATGCCTGTGAGAACACGAAACCGCTTAACAACTAAAAACAAAAGGAATAAAAAGAAAGTGGAAATTTTCCATTCTTGATAAAACCAAAGCCTGTCTGAAATGATCCAAGAAATAACCTTGACATTTGTAGGACAGAGCTTAATTGCGTCCTCAGCATCTGCCAGAGCACGTCTGTAATTTCCTAGCAATAGGTTGACGTGGGCTCTATTGGCAAATAAAATGGAGTTCTCAGAATCACTTAAAACTTTTTGATTTATAGCTCTTGTATAACAATCAATTGCATCAGAATAATGCTTTTTGCCCATCTTGACATACTCGTTACCCTTTTCCTGCAATGTATTTGGGGGCAAAACGATGATCAACTTCAAAAAAAAAAAAAAAGTGATTCATGAGTTTTGTTACCCAGGAAGCATGCAACTGGGTCAATTTACGTTGTGATTATAGAGAGAGAGGTGACCTTGAGTTCAAGAGCAGCAGATTCTTTGAGGGCAGCAATAGCTTGGAGGTCAGCTTTCTCGCTTTCCGTTGTGGGCTCTGAACCCGCTTCCATCCATAGCGCCATTTTCTCCGTTCAAACCCAGGCAACTCAGTCGAGAGTATGCCTTGTTTCTCAGCAGAAGAACAATCCAGACAATCAACAAGCTTCGGGGGTTTTCTTCCCTTTTCCTGATTTCGTGGGCTTAGGTTTAGAATACCGATAGAGGAGAAGAGTCACCCTTCGCAGAATCAGAAGCCAACGGGTACTTACGCAATTGGGTTACGGGCCGGATTCGAGAGTCTCCTTCTATGCCCGAGGAACGTCTCTTCTTCTTTCTCGAGATGATACATATTTATAATTTAATTTTATTTATTTAAACTGGGTATTAATATATTTTTGTATTCTAAAAATTGTCACGTGGTGACATATACAATTCATCTTCATTCTTAGATATACACAAATTCTTTTGAATAATTTTACTTATTTTACAATCCACAATTTCTTAATCACTATTAATATGTTTTAATTATATTAATATTTGTTTTGTTTCTTTAATTACCTCCATCCATAATTTTTCCCCCCCAATATAATCGCTAGTGATAGATTTTTTAAAACATCTTCAAAAATTCAGATAATTAATTGTAACCAAAAAAAAAAAAAAATTCAATTAATATTATAACATAACACTAGCAATATTTCAAGAGCTAAATTATATATAAGTATATATAAGTAAATTTTATCCTTAAGAGTGTTGGCTATAGCCATTTTAAAGATTTGAAGTCCTCTAAAAGCTTATAAAACTATTTGTAAATTATTAATTAGCTTGTCTATGATGAATGAATAAAAAATAAATATTACAGTTTAGTCATAAATTTTAAGAACTAAACGATCATACTCGAAATAAACAGTTCAATAATTAAAATTAATTAATATTTTAAAATAAAATTTAAAAAAAATCAATTTTTCGAAGAGAGAAAAGCTAAAGTGCATTAGCACCGGCAATACTTAGCGGATCTTAATCACTTTTACTCATTCCAAACTAAACATGGCTATCCTGATTATTGAGGTTAACTCAAAATCCACCTACATAAAGCATAATTTGTCAGAACTCAGAATTAGCATACAATACAATCAGTGGTAGTGAGCTTTCACAAACTTAACAGCTCCACTTGCACTTTCATCTCAGAGCTTAAACAGAATCAACAACAAAACCATAAGCACATTTCAAATGATGTAGAAACGAAGAAAGAGAATCTGATCATTCAAGAATGGGGAATGAGAAATTTGAGAGAGAAGGGAAAAAGAAAAAGCGAGGGAGATTAGTAGGGACAAGAAAACAATCATCTTGCATTTCAACCAAAACTAAATCTCTTAAAAGATTTCTTTTGTAAAAGTGTCGATCCAATACATTCTAAAAATACCAAACTGTCAACTAATTTGATATAGTTGGTAAAATATGAGACGTTTTTCGATAATATCCCCAAATTCTAATGTTTGATAACTATTTTTCCAAAGATTTACCATGTAACGCATAGTGAGTGGATAAGGAAAAGCCCAATGCTCATATATATATATATATTATATATTTTTTGAAGCCGGCCCGTGCTCGTATATCTTTTTTTTTTTTTATAAAAGAGAAATAATATTAACAGAAGGCTCTAAAGGGGAGCTACCCATGTACAAAATATATTTACATGTCAACGAGCATATCAATATTTGCTCCTAAATCATCAAAAGGATGTAAGTTGTATCCCAAAAAGATGGAACCAAAATAGCCCCATGCTTGTATATCACCGGGTTCAATTAAGAAAAGGTGTAGAACCCCAAGCACAAAAGAAAAAAGCTAGAAGGGCAAATATTCTACCACGATCAAAACAGCAAGGCACTAAATTCATAAAAGAACAATACCTGATATAACATGCAACTGCATTTTATCCAACAAACTAGATGTGCCATTGATGAACTCTGAAACTCTATTTATGGCTAAACAAAGTCTTTCAGGAATTCATGGACCATCATCAAAAACATCTTTTGGCTTCATCCATCATGAATTGGGAATGAAAAACTGAAGCATTATTTTTAATAGGCACTCCCCGCAAAGCCAAATTCATTTCTCCCTATTCATCAGTAACGGCAAAACTGGCTCCATACAGGACACAAGTTGAATGCCGAGAACCATTTGAAGACATACACATAAAGCATTTCAGGATTTGTTTAGAACCAAGCATCATAAAGAATGCTTCGAAAGAAGAGGTGTAGGATTATAAATATTAACAGCTGCAAACCCAGCAGGCTCTGTACAGCATCTTTCAGTCCAAGGCCACCTGTACACTTTAGTTTATTGTACACTAGCAGATGTCCTGTCATATAATTAAAACCAACCTACAAAACAGCCATTATCTCACACTTTTTAGGTGAAGGGCGAGCAGACACACCCAGCTGAACTTCTTTGGAAGAAAGCACAAGATGATAATTAGCTATGCATTTGTCAAATGATTCAAAGATGTTTCAAGATCAAAGTAGAGCATACCTGCATCAAATGTGACTGGATCAGATCCAGAACTATCTGTAACCAATGGAACTGAATTATTATCAAGTAGCCAGTCTTCAAATTCAACTAAAAGTTCATTTGTTGGACCAGTGTTTTGCGGGTGGAAGTTCTCCGCAGGAGGTTGTTCATAGATTTGACTAGAGTGGTTTGGCATATCAAAATCAAATTCATAATCTAAAATACTCTGATGAGGAATATCTTGATTTTGATTCCTCAAACAATTAATATTTGGGTCATTATCAGATAATGTAATAGGCTGACAATATTCTTGGGGCTGGGAAGGCGTTGATGTTGTGAAGCTACCTAGACTGGGCAAGGAGGACTGATTGGTATGAGTCTCCAAATTGATTGTGGAACAAACATCCTGCATGACTGTGATATT